CTTTTAGCTTTTCGCAGGTTTTAGGTACCCACATTTCGTAGCTAGCGTTGGCTTTGGGCTAGGACTGACCTGGGTGGTTGGGGTGAAGGTTCCGACTTTAGGGTTCTGCTAGAGTTAACTTGTTCTGGGGCACTCTCATCCGGGGTTGGAGGGAGCCGCCAGGCCGCTACGGGGTCCCACCTGTGTTTTACGCGGTGTGCGACCGGTTAGCCGGCAGGTCCCCAGGACCCTCTTTTCACTACGACAGTATGAAAGGCCGGCAGCCTCCGGCGCAGAGTATTGAGACTCCTGACTTCTCAGAAACCCCAGGGTCCGCTTCTGTGTCTGGATCTTGGATGAAATAAACGGCGAAACCTGCTTCTCGGAGCCCGGGCCTATCCTCCTTTCGCCCCCGAGAACTGTTTCGGCTCTTGGCTCAGCCGATCCCCAACTTGCCCAAGCTAGGCATTTTTAGTATCTTGTGAAAGACAAAAATAAAGAATAGCGAGCTTTTAACGTCTAAGTAAACCAAGCGTTGGAAGTTCTAGGTCCCAGAAGTCTTGCGTCCTTTGTTAAACTTCCTGAGCCTTTTTTATTTTCAGTAACATGAGGCAGTATTTTTACTGCTTCGACATCTGTCAAAAATTAAACGATAGAACGGCTAAAGACGTGTTGAGAACATTAATTCGCTGGTGCCTGAAACAAAGGTATCTACAACTTTGAATGCCGTGCATGGTGGCAGGCATATGGACCTCGTCATCAAAGAGCCTATCTCTGTACATTGAACGCTTTCCAGTGTGTCCTTTCAGACTGGCAGGGCAGTTGTGACTTTATGTAACAGATAAGTAGGCACAGAGGTGAAAAGATTTTTTTTAAGGCTAATCAACAGAACTAGAATTAGAGGATTTCCAGACAGTGCGAAAAAAGCTGTCCGAAGAGTGGGGACACCTTGTCCTTGTCACAGCCGAGTAAAGCCTACAGAGAGACGCATAAAGAAAAAATTTTCATACTAGTCGCCTTTTAGACGGGAATGTTGGCTTGGATCCACGGAGGTATATAGTTATCTTCTCCCCACCCTCAATAAATTAATTTTATGTGGTGCGTTGCGCGTACAAAGTTCTTTTTTATTGCATGTAATCGTCAAAACAATTTTCAGAGATGTAGATATTATTCATCCCTGTATTAGGAGGAAAATGAAGCTCAGTGATGTTAAGCTCTTATAATTTCAGATGTGTTGGTTTTTTTGTTAATTACACTGCCGTGTAATTTTCTTTCTAGAAACACGTTTAACTGCATCTCCGGAGAGAGGAAGATGTGGTCTGTGGGAGGGAGGCTCCTTTCAATTTCCTTTGCTGTATGTAATTTATTTTTCCCACTGAACAGCCTAAAGTCTCAGTTTTGTCAAGTACAGTCTCTGAACGACACCCGATATCTTGCTACTTTGTGACTTCTGAACTGCATACATCAGTGAAATATAGAACTAGGGACCAAATCCTGAAGTCTTGTATAGGGACCTTGGTACTCCCTGATTTTAGGTGTCCCCCAGTAGCAGTGATTAAAGAAAAGGGAACAGATGACCTGTTTCTGGTCACTTCCAAAATGTGGTCCAAAATAGTCCAGAAATTGGACTATGCGCTTATTAAGTGGAATGATTCAGAGTTGATATATTTAAAGTTCAGAATATGATGAATGTTTTGTCTCCACCCCTTTGAACACACAAAGTTTCAAACAGCACATTTATTCGGGATCTAAAATTAAAGTTTGGGTGCATGGGGATTAAGGGTAATGATTGACATTTTGGAGTTCATACCAC